CACAGCAACTAAACCTGTGCACCACAACTACTGAGCCTGTGCTCTAGAGCCCGCAAGCCACAACTACTGAGCCTACATGCCACAACTACTGAAGCTGGCACGCCTAGGCCCGTGCTCCGCAACAAGAGAAGCCACCACAATAAGAAGCCAGCCCACCACAACAAACAGTAGCCCCCACTCGCTGCAACTAGAGAAAGCCCGCACGCAGCAACAAACACCCAACGCAGCCAAAAATAAATAAATTACTTTATAAAAGAAAGATTTTCTTAAGATTAGAAACTTACCTCCATGATGCTGGTTACTGGTCTCGATCTACAGAAAAGAAAATGGAGAAAGAAAAAGAGAAACAGTTAAGTTTCACTTTTGAAATACTATGTACTAACAAATGTCTAAAACTGTTATAAATAAAGCTGGCAGAAGAGCCCACTGTCCCTCACCATGAGTGCCTCGTTAAAAAAAACCCAGCAGGTCCCCACCTTGCCTACTAGCCTTAGATCCCAAGCCAGCCAGAGAACTGAAGGAGTCTAGGATTGGAGGGCACTACCATAGCAGGACTTACAGACAAGACCGGTGCCTTCCTGAGACTCTCCTTGGTCCTGAGTATCCCTGAGGCTATCAGGAAGGCCCAAGGAAGCCAGTAGGGAAGAATCATTGGGAGTGCCTGTGCACTTGTGGAAGTGCTGCTACTGCTCCCTGCTCTCACTACAGGGAAACCACTGTCTCCGTGACCACGCTGTGCAGAGATCTCTCAGAAGGTGCCACTAATCAGAGCTTTAATAACATTCCCTGATAATCCCAGTATGCACATGTTCTTATATCAAGGCAGCTTTATGCTGTGGCTATGTTCAGATACAACTGTCAGCAGCTAAGGAAGGAACTTGAAAACTTACCCCACTTAACTATCTGGGGCTCTCTGAGAGTAACGTGTTTCACGCGGCAGCTGTACTGATCCACTGCGTTGGGAGTGAACTCAGCGTGGACCAGAAGGTAGAAAGACCAGTCCTTGCTGAAAGACAGGTCTGATTGCTCCACCTCCATCTTCTCCCCATTCTTCAGCAAATCAATCTCAATCTGGGGTGGATGGAACCCAGACACATAGCAGTTCAGGTAATTTGGTTTTCCATTCTCTGCGGGGTGTCGTGAGTAAACCTGAACCTTCGGAGGACCTGAGGAGCAGCAGGGGAAGACAGATGAAATTGCAGAGTATTTCACTTGGGGCTACCTTGGTCTAAAGCTAGATCAGGCCCCAAGTGTTTCTATTTGATCCTCCATTTCTCCCAATTCCCTTTCCCCTCATGCCAAATGAGCTTCCATTTTTCCAAAAGGCAGCCTCCATTTTCTGGGATAAACCATGACTTAGTATCTTTCCCACATAATTCCCCTACACGTGCCTTTCAGGCTTTTTCTAGCAGATTTCTCTTAACATCTTCTTCTGTCAGTGAAGATTGTGCTGTATCTTTAATAATCTTTCTGTGGAGAATCTCAAGAACTTTTCATTGGCTCCTCAGCACCCACAGAATTCCTTATCACTCAAAAGTCTACATGATTTGGCCGTAATCTACTTATCAAGCTTCATTTCTCACTTCACACTCCCCCCATATTAGCCACATCAAAAATTCCCGTTACTGTACACTGTTTCAACCCAGTCAATTTTTTTCCCTTATGTTTACTCCTTTTTTTTTTTTTTTTTTTGCCTCCTGCCTAGATCCAGACCGATCAGACTTCTCAATATGTGCTTAGTACAGTGCCTGGCACACAGCAATTGCTCTGTAAGTGGCAGGTGTAAATATTGTTACCTCCTTGCTCTGAGACCTGATTCAACCCAAAGTATGTTCTTGCAAAACACAACCTCATCATCCTACCCCAAGTTTACACACCAAACCTCTACCTGATTTTTTTTTTTTTTTTGCCATACGCGGGCCTCTCACTGTTGTGGCCTCTCCCGTTGCAAAGCACAGGCTCCGGACGCGCAGGCTCAGCGGCCATGGCTCACGGGCCCAGCCGCTCCATGGCATGTGGGATCTTCCCGGACTGGGGCACGAACCCGTGTCCCCTGCATCGGCAGGTGGACTCTCAACCACTGCACCAGCAGGGTAGCCCCCTCTACCTGATTTTATATGTGATTTCATGAGCTTGAAAAAAAAGAAACCAGACCAAAATGCCTGCAGAAGATGGCAGATACCTTAAATGAAGTTGGGCTGGGTAAGAACAATAGGGAAGGGTGAGGACTGTGGCACATGCGAGAGAACATACTGTCACCATTAGAAAACCAAGTGGAATAATGCACATGGGAATGGGCTTTGCATTTTTAATTAGCATGCTCAAGTGATTGCCATAATCTGCCAGGTTGGGAATACTGCATAATGCTACAGAACAGTGGTTTCCAAAATGGGATGCATGACTAGACCCTCCATAGGGATGTAAAGAAAATATTATAAACTCTATTTCTATATTTTTCTTCCAAAGTGAAGTGTTACTGCTACTAAATATACAGAATGACACTAATACATGTTAATAATCCACCTTTAAATACAAATACATTCAGGGTACATGATGGCAAAAGTCAGTTCATCCTTCATGTACAGAAGGTGGTGGGGTAAGGAGGAGAACCAGGCTATTCTGATCAGATGTATCTGTCTAGAAACATCCTATCATCAAAGAAAAGGTTCCTAGTCCCACCAAGAGCTGTACTGAGAATCCTAATGAACACTGATTTTTTTTTTAAATCAATTTTACCTTTTTTTTTTTTTTTTTTTGGCTGTGCTTCGGGGTTTGTGGGACCTTAGTTACCCGACCAGGGATTGAACCCGTGTGCTTGGCAGTGAAATGACTGGAACACCAGGGAAATCCCATGAATGCTGATTTTTAAAAAATAAATTTAAAAGTGAAGATAAATCAGAAAGCCCTTCACATTTCAACTTCTAATAATCAGGACATAATAAATGCCACAGGAATCAGAGCACTGATTCATCCTGCCTGGAATTCACTCTTTGAGGGAGCCAGGGAATTTTCTGCAAGAACATCACAATAATCTCTTCCAATAGTGGGAAGAGTATCAGAATCTGGCCTCAGCCACTAATGGCTCTGTGACTTTGGGAGAGTTATTTGAGCTTCTGTAACTTAATTGAAGAGTTAATGTATGCCCACAGTGAAATAAAACCCACACAGGGGAAAGAGCAGAAAATACACCCCCTAGAGGCAATCGCAATTACACATTTCTTGTATATCTTCCAGAGAAGGTCTTGTGTATGTTCCAGGCATTACTTCGGAAATATTCAAATTAAGATAGTCTTAATGTCATTAATGACATTAAGTTTTTCGAAAGACTTACATAGTCATGTAATAATAGTGATGATACAGACATTATGCTTTATTTTGTAAATAACTTTTAAACTAACTTCCTTTTTCTCATGAACAACAACAAACAAACAAACATACACACACACAAAAAACAAACAAAAACCCGCTTCATAGAGCCTTTTGTGAGAGAGAAAAATCTGAGGGTCCGGTATATTGCAGGGTATTTAGAAGGTACTGAGTCAGTATCCATGGTGTCCCTGACAGACAGCTTGGGGAAGCATGTTGATTACTCTTATCCCTAGTATTACAAACTTTCTGAATGATAAACCTTCGCTTACTCAAAACTGAAAGTACATACTCAGTTCATCTTGGAAAGAACCAGGCAAGGAGCCAAAGGAGGAGCCCTCTGTGAAGAAAGGCAACAGGGGCCCATGTCCGCCCAGCCTGCTCCCGAGAATCTCTCCCCAGAAGGCTGTGAAAAACGCACGGATTACAGGCAAAGGGCTCACGACCCCCCAAATGCTCTGGTCAGGCTCTACTGTCTGCCATAAATCCCCTGCGTGATTAAGTTACTTCAGCTCTTCTAGCCTCCCTTTCCTCATCTATGACAAGCTGATGATAAAGGCACCCTGTTTACATCGTAGACGCATTTCACAATTAAATGACATACAGCACATAGCGCAGGTCAGTAAGCCGCCAACGGGTAGCTCTATGATTATTATTAAGAGCGACAGGTAGCGGGAACAAGAGAATGAACGACGTGAAGCGCTATATAAACACCTCAGGACATTCCACAAGAGTCGCGTGCAACTTCCTCGCCGTGGTTTGGTCGTCGCGGATTTGGGGAACGTGCAGAGAGGCAGCTGAACCTGGCGGGCGCCTGGAGGAAGCTCGAGGCCCTCGGGCTCCCAGCGGACTGATACACCCTGGCGGCGACTCCCCCAAAGCCCACGCGTGGTCTCCACCCATTCGCAGCCCCCAACCCAGCCCTTTGGGACCCGCCAGCCCGCCCTCAGCTCCCGCTGCACGGGGGGGAGCCAAAGGCCCCACGAACCACCGGAAGTGAACCCCTCCCACACCTCGGTCGCTCTGTCCCGACCCACCCGGTGCGGGCGTGCCAGAGGTCCCCTCCCCCCCATCCCGGAGAAGCCGGCGTCCTGGGCTCGCACCCCTCCCCACTCCACACACCCCCACCGCCTCCACAGCCCGAGAGAAAACCTCGTGCTACTCCACCGAACCTTGGGATTGGGACCGGGGGGTACGGAGTTAGTGCCCAGTGGCTGCGAGCGGGACAGGGACGAGCTGGTGGAAGAGGGAAAGGGAGGAGGGGACACTCACGCTGGACGGCGTCCAGGCCAGACAGCGAGAGAAGCCCGAGCAGGACCAAGGTCACGAAAGGAGCCATCGCTACAGGAGAGGCTCGGGTGTCAGAGTGAGGACCCGGTCCCGCGCCCGCACTTATAGCCAGGCCCAGGCCGCCAATCAGAACCGTGCCCGCCGGGGCGTCACCGGTCTCCTAGCGAGCGAGGCCCTGGCAGGTTAGAAAGAGGGACTTCCCGGTTTTCAGTTTCATTTTCTGATAAGTCTCGTGATGCTTAGGAAGGCAGGGTTGAACCGGGTGGATTCGCTGTCTGTACATCGGCGCCCTCTTATCAGGGATGCGCGCCCAAGCTTGGGGCGCGGACCGTCCACCCGAGAGCTTCAGTCCGAGGGAAACTTCGCTTTTCGGAACAGCATCAGAAACGCTAAGGCACTTGCTCCCCAAACATGCCCCAGCTAGTTAGGAGCCTAGAACCTGGTTTTCGATCGGGAAAACTGAAGCCCAGAAAAATTAATGAGAGTAAGGACAGAGATTGAATGGTACTGGGCAGAATCAGACCTTGGGATCACAATTATAGCCCGGAAATACGCTGTAGGGCTTCGGGATTCTTTGGGCAAGAAAAGTCGTCCAGAAACCTCGAGGCCTCATGAGGACTGCTCAGAGAACCGTCCAGAGTGAAGGAGGACCTGCTTGCTTCCTGAGTCCCTTCGGGGAAAACCCTGTGTGGAGAAAGTCTGGCCTGTATCTTGCCTCTGTAGTTTAGGTAATTTTCTTTGTTTTGTTGATTTGTGGGGAAATGAACCCTGATAGTAAAAGGTAAAAGCAGTAACTGCTTAGAGTGTTAGACTACCGACCCCGTGAGGAACATCATTCCCTGCGAATTACCACACTAGAATGGTGCTTGACATGGAGTACATACTTGGTAAACTGACTGAATGAGTGAATGGATGGATGGATGGAAGGATGGATGGATGAACCTACGAATGAAAGAACGAACGAACATGTGAGGGAATACGTGAGTAAACATTAGGATGTAGGAATTACCCCATTACATTTTTATGGATAGGAAAACAAAGGCTAAGTGTTAGGTTTCAGATGGGCCTGATTCATTTGTCATTCGTGCTTCAGACACTTGGAAGATAGAGGACTGGGCAATTTTAGTGAGAATTCGGGTTGCATCTGCTGTGGGCCCAGCCAAAGAAGTTAGGCCTACTGACTCTAAGAGCGTGTCAGTGTTAGACTCCTTAAGGAAACCTCCACTCCAGAAACCATACCATAAAAAGATGCTGACATCACCTGGTGGCTGAGTCCAGGGATCTTTTCTGAGTGGAACACTCAGAAGAGGAAGTGAACCATTGGGAGGGGAAGGGGCAGAGATCTTGGAAATCACCCTGGTTTGCACTTGAAGGGAGTTGGTTGGTGCTTCCCCAAAGAGCACAACCAATGTCATCTGGATTTCTTTTACATATTTTTAGAGGTTTCAACTAGCCCTACTGTGGTGGTTGTGTCTAAACTAGAAAAAGTAGGATACTCTCCCCAGACCTAATGAAAGGAGATAATGCACAGAGAGAGCCCCGGGGAGCACAGAGGGAGTGTTCAGTAATGATTAAGAAGTGTACTATGATTATTGATGCTAGTTTCCTATTTTTTCTACCAGCTCTTTATAACTCTCTCGAAATGAAAGAATAATGGTTAGGCATAAAGTTATGAGTAAAGACACTCCTGCCCCTCCCTTTTGTTTGTTTGTTTGTTGTTAACTCATTTAAGGGTCTTAACGCCTGGAATGTTAGTGTTGAATTGTTTTCTAGTGCCTTGGGAGCATAGGAAGAGACAGGGCTGGTGGTCACCTCTATATTCCTTGTTTACCACATCACAGACAAATACTGGAGTACTTAAAATTCTTAAAAGATAGAATCTGATCTATTCACTTGGAAAACTAGTTTTTAAAACACTTTTTTAAAAAAAACAGTGAAGACAGAAAATTATATTTTTTCAGTTTTTTTTTTTTTTTTTTTTAAAGGAGACCACTGTTTGCCTAGGAGGGCAAACTTCTGGAAATGTACAAACATGGCCTTTTAACAGTGTTATCTCCCATTAGTGGGATGAATGACAGAATTTTTTTTTTTTGGCCTAATGACTTTTCTAAAAAACTTTTGTACAATAAATGTTATTCATAATAGTAAATATTTTCTGAATGTGGAAGAACTGGGACTTCATACACTCCTTTGAGGAATGGAAAATGGTACAACTACTTTGAAAAACAGTTTCAGTGTTTAAAAAAGTTAAACATATGCTGGCCATATGACCCAACCACTCCACTCTAGGTATTTACCCAAGAGAAAATGAAAGTGTATTTTCATGATGAGGACTTGTACAAAACTGTTCAAAGCAGCTTTATTGGTAACAGCCAGAAATTGGAAACAATCCAAACTTCCATCAACAGGCGAATGGATGAACAAACTGTGACAGCTATCCATACGATGGAATACTATCAGCAATAAATAAGGCATGGAGGTTTCCCTGGTGGCACAGTGGTTGAGGATCTGCCTGCCAATGCAGGCGACACAGGTTCGAGCCCTGGCCTGGGAAGATCCCACATGCCGTGGGGCAACTAGGTCCATGAGCCACAACTACTGAGCCTGCGTGTCTGGAGCCTGTGCTCCGCAACAAGAGAGACCGTGACAGTGAGAGGCCCGTGCACTGCGATGAAGAGTGGCCCCTGCTCGCCGCAACTAGAGAAAGCCCTCGCACAGAAACGAAGACCCAACACAGCCAAAAATAAATTAATTAATTAATTAATTTTAAAAAATCATTGAATAGACAAGGCATGAACTATTGGTACACAGAATAATGGATGAAATAATGAGGCTGAAGGAAAAAAGCAAGACAAAAAGAGTACGTGCTGTATGATTCTTTTTATTTAAAACTCTAGAAAAAGCAGACTAATCTGTGTAACAGATGGTTGGTTTCCAGAGGGTGGAGGGAGCATCAGGAGCCTAAGGACACTTTATCCATTATCTTGAGTATGATGATGGTTTCTCAAGTGTATACATGTAGTAGAACTTATTAAAGTGTATACTTTAAGTGTAATTTATCATATGTCAATTACACCTCAGTAAAGCTCCTTTTAAAAAAAAATAACCTAATAAGACTCCACGCTTCCAGTGCAGGGGGCATGGGTTCAATCCCTGGGCAGGGAAGTTCCACCTGCCGCGTGGCACGGTCAAAAACAAAAAAGAACACAAGAAAACCTAAAAGCACAGGTACCCGTATCTTTGTTAGGCCAAGGAAGAATGAAGTCCTTGAACAGAAAGAAAAAGAAGGATATTGAAGTGGGGAGAAAATCGGAATAGGTTAAAGTTCAAATGAGTTGGGTTGCACCTCAGTGGATCTCAGTCAGCACTTTTCTGGGGTGAACTCATCAGACAGCCAGAAAATCCAGGCCCCCTGGAAGGGGAGGAAAAAGCACACGTAGGGCATTTGTGCCTGGGCTCTTTCAAACGTTATGTCACTAATCAAAGTGTGGTACATGCATCACAACATCAGCAGCACCTTGGAGCTCTTAGAAATGGAGACACTCGGGCCCATGCTAGACCTACTAAATCAGAGCCTGCATTTTAACAACATCCCAGGTGACTCGTATACACATTAAAGTTTGTGAAGCTGCTGACCCAAACCACAACAATCCAGAAGGTCTTTCTTTTACAGGTAAAGAGACAGTTTCAGAGAATTAAGATGCTCGTCCACGTTAGCTCTGAGCTATGATTCAAATGCTGGTCCATGTGATTCGAAAGGCCTCATAAGGTCCACTAGACAACCACTTCTGAGAAGGGGTTCGTGCGAAACGGTTCATTGGGTGGCTTGGACCAGGGCAACGATTAAAAGCATATGAGAAGGTGCAGAAAGCAGGAACAAGTAACACAATGTATGGTAGTTTTTATTTAACTCACATTTGTTTTTGTCTGCCCACAAAAATAATATATGCATGTGGTAGAAAATTGGAACAATCAGAAAACTATAAGGGGCTTCTCTGGTGGTGCAGTGGTTGAGAGTCCGCCTGCCGATGCAGGGGACACGGGTTTGTGCCCCGGTCCGGGAAGATCCCTTGTGCCGCGGAGCGGCTGGGCCCCTGAGCCATGGCCGCTGAGCCTGAGCGTCCGGAGCCTCTGCTCCGCAACCGGAGGCCCGCGTACCGCAAAAAAAAAAAAAAAAACAAAAAGCTATAGGGAATTCCCTGATGATCCAGTGGTTAGGACTACGAGCTTCCACTGCAGGGGACCCAGGGGTTGATCCCTGGTTGAGGAACTAAGATCCCACAAGCTGCACAGCGTGACCAAAATAAATAAAACTTTTTAAAAATTAAAAATAAAAAAAACTATAAAGAGGAAAATTAAAACCACAGTGACCCTGCAACCCAGAGAGAACTATCGTTAAATGGTTTAATTTAATGAGTCTGAAGGTGGTGCCTGCTCAGAAGTCCATCCTGAAAGCATGTCTCTATGTGTATAACCGAGTCACTTTGCTGTGCAGCAGAGATTGGCACAGTGTTGTAAGTCAACTATACTTCAATTAGAAAAATAGAATTAACAAAAAAGTCAGTCCTGGTTAGATCTGTTTTGGGGCTGGCAATCCTCAGTCTTCTGTGTTAAATTCCATTGAATACAGCCAATGTCAGTTGAGTGCAGGCTTTGTGGCAAATGGAAATACTGTAAGGATAAATCAGAAGATTCCAGACTGCCAACCAGGAGAATCCAATCTAGAGTTCAAATCAGCCCAATAATTAATTTATTAGCAGCCACCTAAGGTGTTCATGCCCACTGAATTCTCAGATATGTGCTGTTACGTAACAGGCAACAGACCCAAAGGAAATGGGACACAGAGGGGAGCCGTTTTGTTTCCTGATAGTTTCAAAGTCAGACGCCATACAAAGGAGGGCAAAAACCTCACAAGATCCCGGGAAGGCAAGTACTATTCTCACTAATTGAGGGAGAGTATGTGGGAAGCCTAAAGTTGAGACAGGTGAAGTATCTCGTTGGTGAGGAATCTCTGCCTCACAGGCTTGTGTGTAACCACCACGCTCTTCCAATTGTCAGGGTGATTTTATTGGGAAAACCACACAGACTTGGTATAAAATAAATCAAGCAGT